AAAAAAAAAAAAGGAAAGCAAAAAAGCAAAAGCAGCCACAGTCCACAAGAGATGGGGCTAGTCAGGACTCTTCCCCGCCCCCAGGGCCTCACCAAGGACGTAGATTCTCCCCTGGTGGACAGTGATCCCCAGGGCACTTCGCCGGTGCTTCATGGGGGCTACGAAAGTCCACGTCTCTGTTTCCACGTCATAACGCTCCACGCTGTTCAGCTGGTCCTGACCATCATAGCCCCCGGCAGCATAGATGCAGTTGTGCAGGACGCAGACGCCTAAAGGGCACCGTGCAGAGAAGGTGAGTCTGGAGGACTGGCTTTGGGAGCCCCAGCCATCACCTCCTTGAGGGAGACCTTTCCTCTCTCCTCTCCCTTCTCACCCTCAGAAATGAAGCATGGAGAGAGAGAAGCTTGGACTCTATCAGAATCCAGTGCTTCTGTGGTTATCCCAGGGTGAGGGTTGCAACAGGGGGTCTCTCCCAGGCCTGGCTCAGTTTCACCCCAGGATGGTGGGGGTGTTCCTGGATGCTCCCCTCACTACCGTCCCCACCCACCTGCCCCGCTTCGGATGGTGTTCATTGCTGTGATCATTCGCCACTCGTTCCTCTCTGGGTAGTAACGCTCAGCTGAATTAAGGCGGTTTGTCCCGTCAAAGCCCCCCACGGCATAAAGCAGACGATTGAGGACGGCCACGCCCACCCCGATCCTTCGTGTCAGCATTGGGGCCACCAAGTGCCACTCATCCCGCTCTGGCTCATACCTGCAAGGGCATAAGAAAAATGGGGACAATGGCCATTATAGCTGACCTTCGTGGAATACTTAAGGGCCTGATACCCCTTTTTTCCCTTTTTTTCTTCCTTTAAAGAGACAGGGTCATCAGGCGCAGTGGCACATGTCTGTAATCCCAGCACTTTGGGAGGCCGAGGAGGGTGGATCACCTGAGGTCAGGAGTTTAAGACCAGCCTGGCCAATATGGTAAAACCTTGTCTCTATTAAAAATACAAAAATTAGCTGGGTGTGATGGCAGGTGCCTGTAATCCCAGCTACTCGGGACGCTGAGGTGAGATAATCATTTGAACCTGGGAGGTGTAGGTTGCAGTGAGCTGAGATCGTGCCACTGCACTCCAGCCTAGGCGACAGAGAGAGACTCCATCTCAAAAAAAAAAAAACAAAAAAACAAAAAAAAGAGACAGGGTCTTGCTCTGTTGTCCAGGCTGGAGTGCAGTGGCACAATCACAGCTCACCGAAGTTTCAAACTTTTTCTTTTTTGACATGGAGTGCAATGGTGAGAGCATGGCTCACTGCAACCTCCGCCTCCTGGGTTCAATCAGTTATCCAGCCTCAGCCTCACAAGTAGCTGGGATAACAGGCACCTGCCACCATGCCTGGCTAATTTCTGTATTTTTAGTAGAAATTGGGTTTCTCCATGTTGGCCAGGCTGGTCTCTAATACCTGACCTCAAGTGATCCGCCTTTGGAAAGCTGAGGCTGCCTCAGCTTTCCAAAGGGCTGGGATTACAGGCATGAGCCACCACGCCCAGCCTGCAGCTTCAAACTCTTGAGCTCAAGGAACCCTCCTGGCTCAGCCTCCTGAGTAGCTGGGACTAGAGGTGCACACCCCTGTGCCCACCTCCACTAGAACTCTAGTGCTTGCAGTCATTCTCCAAGGACTGAGGTATCAGCAACTCCATTTTCCAAATGAGGAAACTGAGCATCCTCGCCATCAATTGCTCAAGTTCAAAAACACATCTGATGGCCGGGCACGGTGGCTCATGCCTGTAATCTCAGCACTTTGGGAGGCCGAGGTGGGCGGATCGCGAGGTCAGGAGATGGAGACCATCCTGGCCAACACGGTGAAACCCCGTCTCTACCAAAAATACAAAAAAATTAGCCGGGTGTGTTGGCCTGCGCCTGTAGTCCCAGCTACTCCGGAGGCTGAGGCAGGAGAATGGCATGAACCCCGGGGGCGGAGCTTGCAGTGAGCAGAGATGGCGCCACTCCACTCCAGCCTGGGCAACAGGGCAACAGAGCAAGTCCATCTCAAAATCAACAACAACAACAACAAAAACAAAAAACCACCTCTGATAAACCCCTAGTGGCTCAGCCATATCCCCCACTTCACAGATGACAAGATAACATCTTAGAAAGGAGAAATCACAGATTCAGCATCACTCTTTAATGCTCAAATAGTCCTTGAGGTCCGGCACAGTGGCTCACGTCTGTAATCCCCGCACTTTGGGAGGCTGAGGTGGGGGAATCTCTAGTGGTCAGGAGTTCGAGACCAGCCTGGCCAACATGGTGAAACCCCATCTCTACAAAAAAAAAAAAAAAAAAAATTAGCCAGGTGTGATGGAAGGCACCTATAGTCCCAGTTACTCCGTGGGCTGAGGCAGGAGAATCACTGGGAGGTGAGGTTGCAGTGACCCAAGATGGCACCAGTGCACTCCAGCCTGGGCAGCAGAGCAAGAGAGACAGGGTCTTACTCTATTGCCCAGGCTAGTCTCCTGGACTCAAGCAATTCTCCCACCTGAGCCTCCCAAAGTCCTGGATTACAGGTATGGGCCACCACACGTACCCAACAATTTCAAACTGATGGAACTTTTTCCAAATCTGCACAAAGGAACCATATGGGTTTGTGACAGTCCCCTAAGCATTTCCCAGCTCCAGGCACAGAATCCAAGGTCACGGACTAGAACTCTCCAAGGAGCTTAGCTTCATCCTGAGGCCTCCACTCCCTGAAGACAGGGAGAGGAAGCAGCCTCAGGAAGAATCCCCAGACTTCAGTGTCTTGGGACTTGCCAGGAGTAGGACCCTCAGAGCCCACACCCAGGACCTGCCACTCACCTCTCCACACTGTTGTGGTGGATGCAGCCATGGGAGCCGCCGACTGCATAGATGTGCCCATCGATGACCCCCACCCCGATGCGGTTGCGCGGCACGCTCATGGGGGCGCAGGGCGACCACTGATTGGTCATAGGATTGTAACAGTCCAGGGCGCTGGAGTCGGTGTTTCCGTCGGGGGAGTTGTTCCTGCCGCCCACGGCGTACAACAGCCCGCCCACCACGCAGCCAGCCAGGCCGCTCCGTGGCACCTGCAGGTCCGCCAACCGGAGCCAGGTGCCGTCACTGGGGTTGTAAGCCTCCAGGTAGCTGAGCGACTGTCGGAAGTAGCCGCCCGCGGTGTAGATCAGGCGGCCCACCTTGGGCGCCCGGCAGGGCATCACCTGCGTGGGCTTGTGCAGGGTGAGCTCCTCGAAGATCTTGACCAGGTAGTCCTTGCAGCGGGAGTCGGACTGCAGGATCTCACACTTCTGCAGCTGCATCTGCAGAAAGTTCGGCGTCAACGAGTGGCAGCGCACGGCCCGCAGCAGCGCCTGGACATAGAACCGTCGCTGTTCGCAGTCGTACTTGACCCAGTTGATGCAGGCGTGGAAGACCTCGGACTCGCAGCGCACGTTCAGGTCGTCACGGCTGATGAGGGTCACCAGTTGGCAGTGGGATAGGTTGAAGAACTCCTCTTGCTTGGCCACCTGCAGTGGGTGACAGTGGGAGGGGCTGACTCCCGAGTCGCCCCCACACCTCACCAAGCAGGACAGGGATAATGAGTAACTCACCACTGCCGCTGACAGTCTCAGCTTCCTCATCTGCTAAATGGAGATTCAAATAATAGGAACCGCATACACTGTGATGACTAAATGAGTTAATACTGCCGGGCGCGGTGGCTCACGCCTATAATGCCAACACTTTGGGAGGCCGAGGCTGGCGGATCACGAGGTCAGGAGTTGAGAGATCAGCCTGGCCAATATGGTGAAACTCCATCTCTACTAAAAATATAAAAATTACCTGGGTGTCGTGGCACACGGGTGCCTCCCAGCTACTCGGGAGGCTGAAGCAGAAGAATCGCTTGAACCCGGGAGGCAGGAAGTGGAGGCTGCAGTGAGCCGATATTGCACCACTGCACTCCAGCCTGGGCGACAGAGCAAGACTCCGTCTCAAAAAAAAAAAAAAAAAAGGTTAATACTATGCGCCAGGTATGTCATTAGGACTCAGGGAAATGGGGCAGAGACTCAATAGATCATGTATCCTGGGGTATCATTTGGTTTTGGTTTTTGTTTGTTTTTTGAGACGGAGTCTCACTCTGTCACCCAGGCTGGAGTGCAGTGGTGTGATCTAGGCTCACTGCAACCTCCGCCTCCCAGGTTCAAGCGATTCTCCTGCATCAGCCTCTCAAGTAGTTGGCATTACAGGCGCCCACCACCACGCCCAGTTAATTTTTTATTTTATTTATTTATTTTGATATGGGGTCTTACCCTGTTGCCCAAGCTGGAGTGCAGTGGTGAGATCTTGGTTCACTGCAACCTCCGCCTCCAGGGTTCAAGTGATTCTCCTGCCTCAGCCTCCCAAGTAGCTGAGATTATGGGGGTGTGCCTCCACAGTGGCTAATTTTTTTTGTATTTACTTTTAGTAGAGATGGGGTTTCACTATGTTGGCCAGGCTGGAATTTTTGTATTTAGTAGAGATGGGGTTTCTTCACGTTGGCCAGGCTGGTCTTGAACTCTTGACTTTAGGTGATTCATCCATCTCAGCCTCCCTAAGTGCTGGGATTACAGGTGTGAGCCACCGGACCTGGACTGTTTTTGCTTTTGAGACAGGCTCTGTCACCTAGGCTGGAGTGCACGATCATAGCTCACTGCAGCCTTGAACTCCTGGGCTCAAACGATCTTCCCACCTCAGCTTCCTGAGTCGCTGGGGATACAGGTGTGTGCCACCATGCACAGCCAATTTTCATATTTTTATGGTAGAGACTGGGTTTCACCATATTGGCCAGGCTGGTCTAGAACTCCTGACCTCAAGTGGTCCACTCCCCTCGCCTTCCAAAGTGCTGGAATTATAGGCATGAGCCACCGCACCCAGGGCTGGTCTTAAAATCTTTTTTTTTTTTGAGATGGAGTCTCGCTCTGTCGGCCAGGCTGGAGTGCAGTGGCGCAATCTCTGCTCACCGCAAGCTCCGCCTCCCAGGTTTACACCATTCTCTTGCCTCAGTCTCCCGAGTAGCTGGAGTAGCTGGGACTACAGGCGCCCGCCACTACGCCCGGCTAATTTTTTGTTTTTTAGTAGAGGCGGGGCGTCACCAAAGTGCTGGGATTATAGGCGTGAGCCACTGTGCCAGGGCTTTTTTTTTTTTTGAGACAGAGTCTCGCTCTGTCACCCAGGCTGGAGTGCAATGGTGCGATCTCGGCTCACTGCAACCTCCACCTCCCCGGTTCAAGCGATTCTCCTGTCTCAGCCTCTCAAGTAGCAGGGACTATGCCACCACATATGCCACCACATCTGGCTAGTTTTTTTTGTATTTTTAATAGAGATGGGATTTCACCACATTGGGTCAGGCTGGTCTCAAACTCCTGACCTCAGGTGATCCACCCGCCTCAGCCTCCCAAAGTGCTGGGATTACAGGCGTGAGCCACCAGGCCCTGCCCTCTCTTATCAATTTCTATAGATAATTTCCTTCAGAGAAATGAAAATGAAACCAAAAATGGTAAAGACATTGCGTGGACCAAAGAAAACATGACTAAGGTTCAGGCTTACAGCTTGCAGCCTGTCACGGGTGTCCAATAAACATTTGCTGACTGTCCGAAAGGCTGGGCTGCCCCAGGATTTGCCTGCTTTTCACTGCACTCTGTCCCCACCTTTGACCCCAGAGAAACTAGGGAGCCCAGAGACACATGAAGACCTCACCTTCCCCAGCTGTTCACCAGTGTCCCCACATGCGTAGACAAGGAACTCAGAACCCCAGTTGTTTTTTAATTTTTTTTTTTTTTT